GAATGTTTCTCACGAACTCTTAAATTTCATTCTAATAACTATTTACAATAACCATGCATCGATTATTTAGCATAGTGGCACCCTCAACTGGATCCATGAAAGAATCCAAAGAAAATATGAGGGTAAAATTTTATACAAACAATTTTGTGGAGACATATTCCAGATTATCCATTTACTCACTTTCACTTTATATAAAACCAAACTACATTTAAAAAAATTTAAATATGAGTTTGGTAGGGGAGGAAAAAGGCAAAGCAACCTACTTTATTTCCTTTTCTGGAAGTCATGACTCGTGATCTATTATTAGAAGCTTTTTAAATTCTAACAAGCATCCCTTAGCAATTACACAATCCATATTTCAAAAATGAACTGCACTTTTCTCTCTTTTAGAAAATTTAATCGGAAAATGAGCATATTTGATAACCTGGCTTCAAAACCAAGCACATATGTACAAGGTTTTAATTGCCAATAAAATAAACGGATCCAAGATTCTACCATAACATTTTACTCCTCCTTCAAAATGTCACAATCAAAATCGTCAAGAAATTCTATTTCCGGAAATAATACTGATAAGTAGATCCAAGATTCGACCATAAGATTTTGCTCCTCCTCAGAACCCCAATCAATATAGTCCATATGATATAGGAAATTCTAATTTCTATAGAAAAATACATATAATATCATTAATGCATCAAAAATTAACCCGTTTTATAATTTGAAATATGCCTCGGCGAGATTTGACGAATTTGACGAATGGAATATCAAAATAACACTCCAATGAAGCATAACCGTTACAAAGAACGGCAAATGGACAGAGATGTAATAAGAAAAAATCATATATGCCACAATGAATCACATGAATTCGATAAACGGGTCATTAAATTCATAACGTCATTGCTAAAATTAGTCCAATAACAAACGAGATCATTTAAATCTGACCATAAAATGAAAAAAAAAATCAGCATTTCTTACCTTTTTCTGCTTGGATTAAATCCAAAGGACGAAATATATTACAGCAAGAGAGAAAGGGAAAGGATATTCTTCAAATGATTTGAATAGTTATAGGATAAAAAGGAGCGTCTTAATGGAAATTGAAAATTTGCAGTAGAGGTTCCCAATCTATTAATGTTGTAGCAAGTTGGTCTCTAATATTTATTATTTGACATACAAGTCCACTTCCCTCTGCTCCAGCCACAAATAACCCATCGTAGGCAAGCTAGAGCAATCGAGGTGAAAGAAAAATGCAGAGAAGGAAATAACCTTGCTTGCATTGGGACGAGTTTGGATATAAAATTACTTCATTGACTAATTACTGAACAAAAAATTACGCTTTATGCAATGCATAATATAAAACATATTGAGAGTATGTTCATCATATTACTTGTTTGTCAAACTAAATTTGATCCGATCTTTGTTGATCGGATGTACAAATTTTGGTGTTCTGCTTTTCAATTTTGTCTCTCTTTTTGTTTATTTATTATTGAGGCCTCGTTTGGTAGGGATTTTTTGCCTCAAAAAATTGATTTTTTGATCATTATTTTACTATTCAAGCCGTAATTTTTGACTTGACCCCACTTTTCTTCTAACGATCAAAAAATCAATTTTCAAAATTCCTACCAAACGGGCCCTGAAATTCTCCTAACTGCATGATTCTGGAATTTCCCTGTAGCCTTAACTGATAATTAAGCCAAAAGAACTAGTAAAGACAACCAATTTTCCTCAAAAGTGAAGAAACGAGGCACGAAATTGGTTGGTGTTGTGCCTTAGCAGTATCCCAGGATTTTGATATCCATGCTTCTGACCCATTGCAAATCAACTTCTGCTTTAAATTCAACAAAGAACTGTCCACATTCATGTGTTGCTCTTCAATTCTTCACACCACTGCAAGTTCTGCTTCTTTCTCGTCTCTTGAATTCATACACACAAGTCCCTTGAAAGTTTTCACCCGCTTTGGGAAAAACTTGCATACAGTTTTCTCTCTTTCATGACTGGAAAAGTTGGAGTACAATGATTAACATCGGATGCACCAGAAAGCCCCTGAATAGAACACAAATCCTACAACCCCTGAATCACATCAAACACATTACGCTTATTTCTATTAGATAAATTTGCACGAGTCACCGCAATTTTTCCACTCTACCTCACCCCTATATCTGGAAGGTGTCAAGAGCAGACTGCTGGAAGCTCTGACAGCTCTCACCTGTGCCACAGCAATTCTAGCAACGGCCTGGGTGAATCATCATTTCCAGATGTTTTATTCTTATTTTTATCCTGGGAATTTTCTTTTTCTTTTTCTTTTTCTTTCAAGAACTCGACAACATAATTCCCACCTCCATCACTTATGTTCAACAAAACTTCATAATAATAAATATAACTTCTCTCGAGCTAAACTTCCTGAAAATGCAAGAAATTCTCCAAAAAATGCTTTCTTCACCGGAAATTCATGGATTCAAGATGGTTGAGTAAAACCCTAAGTTCTTTGCATTTTCCTAAGGCTGAACAAATTCATGAGAGAAATTGAAAAAAGTAAAGTAAAGTAAAGACAAGCACATTACTTACCTTAGAATTTCAGGGTTTATACTTTACCTTAGAATTTCAGGGTTTATACTGGACTAGTTCAGAAAGAAAATTAATTGATCTTTCAGTAAAAAGAGAGTGCTTAATCAGACATGGAAGATTAGCTGAGATTATTTGAGAGATTTGATTAGGATGATAGCTAATTAAACCTCCATAAAACTCTCTATCCAGTGGGTTGAGGCCTGTGGGTGAGATTAGTCGAAGTGCGCGTAAACTAACCCGGACACCAACGATCATCAAAAAAGAAAATAAAAAATAAAACTCTCTATCTGGAGACAGGTAGGGAGGGATAATAACTTGAACTTCCTCCCCCAACAGATCTGAAGCGAAATAAAATTTGTTTGCTTATCTCAATCCAGTACACCACGCAAGGCTGCGTTTTAAGTATCAGGGAGTGTTTGGTGTTGACAGATAATAAACAAGCAGATATTTATGCGCCACAAAGAATCAACTCTATTAAATACTCACTTTGCACTCATTTTAACTCCAGAATATTTAGCAATACTTCTTTCAAGCCAAAGGTACCAAAAGTTATATAGAGAGAATTTAATGTTACAACACTTGAAGTTGAGGCTTGCAAGTATACGGCGATTGCTACATTTATAAGGATTGCTACATTTATAAGGACATGATCAATGGATTCGTGTGCACGACAACATTTGCAGACAGAGACAAGACTGATATGAAATGTTTTCTGTATGAGATCTATTTGTGCTATGATTTCCAAGCAAAGAACGAGATTGCTTTTTCCATATGAATTTGAAGGAAGATCGGATGCTTTGTCTCTTGTCTTACTTTTTCCAGCAAGAAGCTGGAGCGAAGAGGCCAACAAAGACTAAATCAATCCCCTCAGCATATGGAGGAATTCCGGCAACATCTTGTACCGTTGGCAGGTAAGAGGATCTATAGTTTAATTAAATTCCAGTGTCCCCCTTTTATTTTATGGACAGAAATAAGTGAATTGGGTACATGCAGATACTTGAGCTTCTGAGAAATATCCTCTATCCAGAAAGATATATTCACAATTCTGTTCAATCAAAGGTATGCAAATAACTATTCAACAAATAACCTTTCTTCCATCAATTCACAAGCAGTAAGCCAGATACTTATTCGAGTATTTATCACTGTGTACTTGGTACTTCCAGAAAAGTCATAAAATAATGTCCAAAGAAATTCAGGCAAACTGCTCTGTCTTTTGTTCTTTCCATTGAGCAATAAAATTAAGATCTTTCAACCCAATGAACAGTCTATACATATCTGTTAAGCATGGTGTTTGACTAAATGAAATAATTGATCAGGTGACTGTGGCACGTTTGGCTTCAACAAGAGTCCTTTCAAAGATATTTGGAACTCAGTTTTAGGAGCAAAAACTGAAAAACAGAAGGGGAAAAAAAAGAAGCAATAAACATCTAGACAATGGGGAGAAAACAAATTAAATTAAGATTGAACAGATATCTGCTTGTGAATCAAATTCAACACACTGCCAAATTAGAAAAGACTTACAAGTATAACATTACTAAAGAAAGGAATAGTTCCCTACATCTAGATGGTGGAGAAATATGACAGCTGAAGATGAAATTCTTAGGAGCAATAGAGGATTCATTTGCCAGTGCATGACTTTATACTCCATCCAGTTCCTAAACCATAATTATCACAAAATATATTCATCTAACAGCAACTTCTATGCAATATTTTCATACAATTAATTATAGCTTAGAAAATTACAAGTAGAAAAAATAGTAAGGGTTATCTGTGAAAATAACTTACATAGACCACTGGCACTAAATGACGATAAAAGTATTGGTGCATTAATTCAAACCTCATAGAGATAAAATTTAAAAAATAAAAATAAAAAAGGAAGGTCTGATGCTTGAAACTCGGAGGTTTTAATCTCAATTACAAAAAGCTATCAATACAATGTTCATGTCTGTGAGGGACAAAACATACCTCTAGATCTCGTGAAGTTGGAAAAATACCCCTTCGGAAATCTGTAAAGATCAAATAGAGAAAAACTCTCTTTGACTAGCGCTACTCTTGAACAAGTAGCAGCTGACAGTTCCCTAAACAAGTATACAAAGTCTAAATCAATCATGCCTAATTTACACACGTGATGCCCTGCAAATTATCCATAGTTTCCCTAAGAATTTGCCCAGATCTCTTTTTCTTGTCATGTTTTTCATCATGGTTAACACCAAACCAAAGAGCTATTTTCTCAACTCCCTCATTCCAAGGGCTAATTGCTGTACTCGAGCACGTCCTGCTATTTCTGAACTTAAATTTTATTGTGGTCCTCTCATTCAATGGAATCTTTCTCCTGTCCTTCATAGATTTACACGACTGGGTCCCAATATCTTCAATGGCATGGGCACATGGTTCTAAAACAGAAACATGACTCTCCAAAGCTGCATGATTCTGGCATTTCCTTGTAGTCTCATCTGATAGTTTAGCCGGAAGAACAGGTTAAGACACCTCCTTATCCTCAAACTGAAGAGGTGGGGCAAGAAAAGGGTTACTTTCAACTGCGCATTTTGCCTTTGCAGGTTCATCAGCTAACCCTGCTTCCAAACCATTAAAAATCAACTTCTGCTGCAAATTCAATGGAGACCTTTCCACCTGCATGTGCCGCTCTTCTATTCTACTTGTTGAAAAGTAATAGCAAATAATAGTGTTACCGTAATTTATATTTGGGCAGAGTAACAACGTTTGAATGGTTTTGAACGGTTGAGGCAAGAGTTCGACTCTTTCTCCTTAAAACGATAATGCCCCACACTGATACTAACGGTATTGCAACACTCGTTTCCCAAGATACAACGACCTCGTCTTGTAATAGTAGTACTCCAAATTACAAGACCCGACGAACCCGTAAAGTTTAGATCTCTCCACACACACTAGATGACTGAAATGCACGAAAACTAATTTTCGAGGACTAAATTATAAAACAGAAATTATGCAAGGACAAAGGGATAATTTCAGGAGAGTAGAAAATCAATTCTGATTTTTGGAATGAATAAAAACCGGGGTATGGGGGCCTATTTATAGATGTTGAAAGGTTGTGTCCCAACAGACACAACTGCCGAAAAGTTGTGTCCAGAGGACACAAACTGTTTGGACAGTCAACTGCCACTTTGGACAGTCAATCATCACTTGGACAGTCAACCACCACTTTCGACAGTCAACCGTCACTTGGACAGTCAACCGCCACTTTGACAGTCAACCGACTAAATTCTAGAAGTACCGTATCACGTGTCACACACAAAAAATTCGGGGAAGGAAAAAAAAATTAATAACATAAAATATATTATTATTATTATAATAATAAAATAATATAATTAAATGTTATTTTACCAAAAAATATATAT